TGTTTATGTCCATGAGGTATGTCTCCAATTTAAGTACTAGCTAATTTAATAAAACATTAAAATTTTGACTGAGAGGGAGAATGATATTTTCTGGTATCTGCTTAATACTTTAAGGGAGGCAAAGTGAAAGAACAATAATAATATTCAGCATGGAAATTATTTGAACAGTAATATTGTAATTATATATTGATTTGGGGGAAATGTTACTGTAACATTTATCAAGTTATGTGTCACCCTTACTAATGAGTTTGCAATCTCTATGCCATTAATAAAGTAACTCATTATGTAAGTTACCTTTAAGGACTTAATGGCCAAGAAAAGCTCAAACAGGAAGTGCATCGTCTCTGAGTTGCTTGGGAAATACTGGATAGATAGAGGGTGAGAAGTGAAATGAAGGACTTGTTTGTACATGAAAGATAAAGCTATTTTTTTGTCCTTTGCTTTCTTTCTAGATTGTTATTAAATACATTTTTAAGTGACAGTTTTTTTAGTATCACAGCATGCTAACATTGGAGCATTCATTTCCCTTCAACTCTAATTTTAAAGTGAAAATGCTGGGCCTCTTCCTCTGTCTTCTAGACTTACATTTTCACATATGTTTACAGTATTGGCAAAGCAAAGGATCATTTTGCAGTCATCTGCATAAGGTCTTTCAATGGTTGTTTTCCAGTTGCCTGGAGTAGAACTTGCCAAAATGGGCCTCATGAATGTTATTTCAAAGGGTTTACTGCACACTCTAGGTATTTGAGTAGTTGAGTTTGATACCATTAGATGGTTCCCTGTCCTGCAATATTTCTTAAATCCATTAATAGACTGCATACCAGATTTATTCAGTCATGCCAACTATGTTTTTTTCTTCTGCAGAGCATCTCCTAAGTGAGTAAGTGAGGTTCAAGAAAAGGCTCTTCTTGAGGCAAACGCTGGCCTTATTAATAAGTGCCTTAACTCTAAAGATGAAATGCCTTCAAAATTTGACCCCTCGTTTTTGGTTCAGCTTCATATATCAATGTCAGCAAGTATGTTCCAGATTACAAAAAGAACTAACTACAGTAAACTTTCTTACAAAGCTGTTTAGCTGTATTCCTTTGGGGGATATGTCTGCTTTGCATAACACCACCTACGTTAAAGTGCTACCATAGGACGTTTGTGCTCATTCGCTGTGCTGGCTTCTCTGACCTTCGTATAGCCTGCTGCACCCAACCTTTGACCTTCTCTACCACGATCTTTAACCCTGATCCTCCTCCCATTGGCTTGGGCATCCCACCTACGAAATTCACACTTATGTTTAGTCTGAATGTGAATTGAGAGTTCAGATCTAAGTCCAGCTCACTGACCTTGGGTCAATGTTCTTAATCACTCTTATGCCTACTACGTTGTCACTCCTCAGCAGACAAGGTAAAGGCATGATGACATGCCTAGATGGCACTCTCTTCCTGTAAGTGTAGGGCATCTACACCAACCTTGGGACATTTCATTCACAGCTCATCCTAGAGAGATTCAGTAAACTGACTTAATGAGAATGTCGTTAATCAGTTTAATGTAGCCTGTGATTAATTTAATAATGCCATGAAGGAAATGTTTAAAAATATGTTCTACACGGATGAACAAGGAGTACAATAAAAAAGTGCTAAACTGCGTTTCACTTGGAGTATGTGTGGAGCATTTTGTCATCATATGTGGTGTGTGTGTGTGTGTGTGTGTGTGTGTGTAGAGGACATAGATAAATCTGTTGTTACCCAGGAACCATCCACATTGTTTTTTTAACACAAGATAGAGACTTGGGGCCTGGTACTTGCTGATTGGGCTAGGCTGGCACCAGCCAGCCCCAGGCCCTGCCTTTTGTGTCCCAGCATGAAGATAATGGAGATAGATTACAAGTCCACTTGACCACACCTGACTGTGTTGGTGTGAGTGCTAGACAGAACGCAGTCTCCATACTGACATTGCTGCAGCCCCTTGGATGTTTTATTTCACAGTGTTGACAAGGTGTGAGCCTGTTTTACTAGTCATGTATAAGCTCATGAGAAACACCACATACATTGTAGCTGACATTTGGATATAAATACTGAGCCTGTAGCTCTGCAGTGGCTTTGTCAGGCATCTAGAAACATCACAAGTGATTTTTCCATAGATATTCATTTTCTAGTCTTTGTCAGAAAAACTGCTATTCTCAGTGAGCCAAGCATGGGAATTCAGTGACAAATTAAAGTATGATTTTTGATGATACGTAATAAAATATAAAATAAGAAATCTTAAAGTGGGACTTTTCCTCTAAAATTTGTATCGGTTTTCCTGTGTTATCTGCTTTTTAATATAGTATATTAGCATTGGACGTAAAAATAAACAGCACCGCTTTCAAATAGACTCTTCTTGGAAGAGAATATATAAAAACTCAGATAGGTATCTGGGATCTATCTACCCATCATATATATATTTGTATATATGCAGATATGTACATAGCTGTGTATATATATGTACATATATGTATATGTTTTTCTGTGGATGATAACAAAATGACAGACCAAATTATAACATAATTTATTTCGATAAGTAAATTTATAGTCTCATGATAATCCTTTGTCTGCTAAAATAATCTTTTCAGTGAGGTAAACTACAGACTTCACTGTTTTGGTAATTATTTGTTATTTGATGTGTAATGATTGCACATACTTATTAGGTACAGTATAATAACCAGATCTATAATTATAATGTATGATGTAAATCAGTGAGCATTTCCATCTCACTAAGCATTCGTCCTTACTTTTACAGAGCACATGAGAAACCACTGTAAACTATAGTTCCGTTCAGTGAACCTCAGTTCATCCCTTTTCTCCCTTATATTGATACCAGCAAGCCAACGGGGTGTCAGATGTGCTCCCCTCACTTCCTTACCCACAGTGTGAACCCCCTTCTACTTCAGCATCGGTCCCTATCGCTTCTGGAGTTCTCTTCCACAGAGTCATATAAAAGCAGGTCTCTCTCCTATCATGTCAATTTCATAATAATACTGCCTCTACATAGCATAGGACTATCGCTAAGATTAAATGTAGATCTATTTTTTTGCCAAAAATAAAGATCACTATAGAGCCAGCAGTAATTCATAGAGGCATGATGGCATTTAAAGGACAGACAAGTTGCAGTCCATGAACTTTACTCTTGGATGTCACTATAGCTGTGAGCAGAGGTCAGGGTCTACTTCTCTAAGAGAAAATGCAGGAAGAGGTAAAAAATTTGAATGCTGTGTTATTCTTCTTTAAACTGTACTCACTTGTTTATATCACAAAAACACATTGTATTGGCCTTTTAACTTGAACCCAGAGTAAAGGTTATATGAAAGGGTGTTGGAGAAAAAAAATATGATCCATGGGGATTCAGTATTTGCCTCGTTCCTGGACTAGAGCTTGACTAAACCATTATTTAGTTTCTCCCATTTTTCATAGCTTCATTTTGACTCTTTTCCAAGACAAAATGAATTTGTATTAAATTTCTAATGCAGTTTGCCTGTTCAAAATGTAGCATTGTAGTTACAAGCAAGTACAGATTTCCTATATTCACACATTGAATTTGAAAATAAGTATGTTGGAGTTTCAGCTTACTTTTTCCAAGTGGCCTACATTTAGCTTTTTACTTTTGTATTTGTATATGAACTTAATTCTGCTAGAACATAGTAGCAATTTGATTACCACTTGAACTCAACAGTATTGGAATATACAAATCAGAGTTCTGTGTAAGAATTCATTAGAAAGCTTACAATTTTACTTATCCAAAGTACAGTCCTTAAGGGTAGACAACAAGCTTTGCTGAAATGATAACTTACATAGGAGAATGAGGAGAGTATGGGGTCTGACAGTGTGCAGGATAAGTTACAAGAGACCAGTGTTAACAGGGACATTGCAAACGGTAGGAAATAAAAGGAATGAAACAATTTGATACCACACCTGTCAATCAAGGTGACAGTCATCAAGCTGAGAGTTACAGAGATCATTTCTATTTAGTGTATATCTATGATATATATATATATATATATATATGATCTCTATATATATGTGTGTGTGTAGTATGTGTGTGTGATAGACTTGTCTCAAAGAGGATCTAGATCAACTTTTTTTAATTTTTAATTTTGAGAAAATACCCATATCCTTCCTAAAATTAATGGGTTCCAGTCAACTGCAATTGAACCTAATTTAAAATCCTATCTTTGTATTTAGCTATTGCTAAGGATGTTCAGTTTCACTCTTTCCAATAAAAAAAATCAAATCAAATAAACCTGTTCTGTCTGGTGATTATTTACTGTAAACCTTACTGCTCTAAAGTGTTTAGATGTTTATAAGATACTCAGTTGAAACCATCTTGGCTAAAATACATTTAAAAGACAACAGAGGCATGTATCACTTTTTTCCATTTCTGACTGTCAGCAGAAATCAGAGCCAACACTCTCTTTTTCTGTTTGATTATTCTATTGTGGACAGAATGAGGAATGCTGGAGACATACATGCTGATTTAGTGTTGTGCTGATGAAACCATTCAGGTTGTATGATGTGTCGTTTTTCACTACCGCCTTATCAAGGTGTTTCAGCTGTGCCCAAACCAGTCCTGGTAATTGCTTTAGTTGCTTGTGGCAAAGTTATGTCAATGTCAATCCCTAAATGACTTTTGACTGTTTCATGTCAGATGTTCTCTCCGAAGAAAGACAGGGTAGAGCAGTTTTCATGCTTGGGTATATGTGTTACTTCAAACTCTAAATAGACAGACTGTGTTCTGTTCTCCCAGTCATAGGTTAAATGCAAATGCTAGTATTTTAGGTTTTTATATGAAGAGAATTCAAGTTCCAAATTCTCTTACATTGTATTTTCTTATACGAAGAGCTTTCTCTCCTTGGACAAAGGGCTTCTGCGTTGGCCACATTAAACTACTCATTCAGGCTGTTCCACAATTTATCAAGAGAACAGAATGCACTGGCAGACCTAAAGAAATAGAAACAGAATAGAAAGTCTGGGAATTTCTTGGGAAATTGATGGAGAGGATGGGTGAGGTGGCAGGGAATACTGGGTGGAATATGTTGGTTTTAAGAAGGACTCAGCACACAAATAGAAGACTTCCCTCCTTCCATGTTAAACATCAGGTGATAATGTGTAGCCTCATTGTGTGAATCAATACCGTCAGTGCTCTGAAAAAGAGAGACACAGGAAAGTTAGTGCAAGGACAGAAGGTGTAAGATTTGGGGTGCGCATCTTCATGGTTTTCAAATGACAAAACCACAATCAATTCACCTACAGATGCCATGGCATTGCATGAATCATGTCCCTCATTCCCATTTCATACTCTATGCTTACTCAATTTAAAATTTCTACTTTCTTTGTATAGGGTATAGGCAAGCAAGTTTAAGACAGTCTTTTTAGGTAATGGTGGACAAAGACAATATTTTTTCCTATTCTTGAGTGGATCATGAGGATATTAAATGCTTATTTGTACTTGGATATTAATAACTAAAGATCATAATTTTCTAAGCCCCATAATGTTACTAACAGCACGAATAATTACTTAAAACTTATCCAAATAATTGAGGCCAGTAGCAACCTAGCATCCGTTGATATTATTAGTACAGAGCAAATTCTACTTGATTGACAAATCAGCAAGATGTTACAGAAGGCCAGAGTAGTTTAAACAAATAGCTACAGCTGAAATACTATGTCAATTCTGAAACTTCACTGCTTAAGAGAACTAATCTTACAAGGTAAGATTACTTCAATAAAACCTATAAATTTGTTCAATAGTTTTTGAACTGCAGATAGCTCATAGAATAGATTGAATAATATTGATATAGCTGAATGTTCTTCTGTTAATATTTAAATTTCATACTTTATTAATTTCTGTGGAGCAAAACGTTAAGATAAGTACTAAAAGTTATTTAAAAAAAATATTGTTCCTACCTCTGCTTCATAATTTTCCAGTTCCTATACTAACACCAGCTACAACTTCCAAAAAGATAATTATTCTGTTTATCTATGCCTCATGTCATTATAGACATACAGATGTGAAGGTCTATCTGTATTTTGGGTTTCTCCATTGTCTTTGGATTTTATGCAAATGATATGGACACCTCAATGTCTTGCCTGCTCACTTTTACTCTCTCATTAGCTGTTGCAGAGATTTCCTATGAGTACATGGAAAAGCTTTGTTTATGCTTGCACATACAAAGCATTCTAAACCATGGGTAAATCACATCTTCTTTACAAAAATCGATACTCAGACAGTGCTATGTATGTGTGACTATAGTTTTAGTAGAAATTTAAGGTATGGTTGAAATATTATAATACTTAAACCAAATGTGCTTTTGAAGTATGTGTATACTACCTTACTCTAACTAAATTAGGGCTATGTCCAGTAGACAGTGTCACAGTTTTGCTTATTACTCGTGGTAGTGTGCCTGGTAACAGTTACATACAGATGATTGTAAGCATACAGACACTGCTCACTTACCAGCAGAGCTCAAGAGCTCTTTCCTCCTCTAGATTTCCTGGTCCTCTGGCCTCTGTCATTACTAACTTCTTCAAGATTCCCTGTAATATTAAGGAAATTCTGGCCTATAGCTGCCAGTATTCTAACCAAATAATCTTACCTCATTATCCATATTGATGCCCCACACATCACAGCTTGAATGTCAAACAAAGCTCCATGGTGAAGCTCTCTATATCTTCTGGAAGGTTTCTGAGCTTCTGTACATGTCAGAAAGAAGGTAAACCTAAAGTTATTTTTACAAAACTGTTTATTTCTCAGTTTCTCTGTTAATCTAGCTGTCAAAAACTTAGAGACTCTTTTATATTTGTTTAGTATTAAGTGTCACAATACAATAGCTGAGCAGTTATTGTTCTATTCTTAATCCTCTAAGACAATCTGGCTAACTCCCAGTGTACATACCGGAGATACATGCACTTTGTAGCTTTCCTGCTCCAGTTTGCTCTTTCTCCTGGCCCTTCCTGGACATCTGCCTGTAGGTGAATATCTTCCTTCCTCCTCTCACTCTTTCTCCCCTGGCTGGCAGGAAGTCCGGCCCTATTCTCTCCCCTGCTCAGTGATTGGCTGTTAGCTTCTTTATTGACATATCAGGGGACAATACAATATTGATACAGAAGGTTCTCAGAACAAGGCTTGCAACTGGATGTGGGGATACGGAAATCAGCGCTTGAATTACCCAATAACTTTATGCCTGCAGCAGACTGGCTACACGGGCTCAGCCTGGACTCTTACTTTGCCTTTTACTGAGCTGACAAAGGGCATCTGCCTGTTCACTTTCCTCTTCTCGTTGTTTCTTAATTCAGATAAAGGAGAGCCCTGGATCATACCCAGGAAAGGCCTCTACATTCCTGAAAAAGCTTCACCCTGATTTCCAAACTGATTACTGGGCTTACATGCATACTGTTTTTCCCCAGGGAAGAAAAGGCCGTACATTCCGTATGCATTGTTTCATAGCACGGGCATGGAGTGCGCGGTATCTGCACAGACCGTGTTAATTAGAAGATTTTGGAAGTGCTCTGCATTGTGCAGCTCCCTTCTGTTAAATGGAGCCAGGGTAGCGTGTCCTTTTAGCTGTAGATTAATGTTTGATTCGGTCTAGTGTCCTGTGGGCCAGTAATGGTGAATGAAGAGGTTTAAATCCATCAAGAGAAATGATAACCAGTAGGCCATGGAGTTATAGGCACTGTTAAGCTGATTTACAGGCAACCGTTGTGACTAACTGTGCTCAGTCCTGGGAGAGTGGAACATTGGCTGCTGAATCTGTATCTAGACAAGGAGAGAAAAGTGAGCATTTATTTTTAGAATTATACCACTATCTTGCTGGCTCCTGTTGGCTTCAACCTGGATTATCTTCAAAGGTCATCTTGTTATCTAGACACATGGGTGTTGAAACCGGAGGAGGCAAGAAAGTTCTTTATAGTCTTTTGCACACTTCCATGATCCCCTCACTGGAGGCATGTCCAGCCAGGAATGTCTAAGTCTGGACGTTTATGTTCTTTATAAATATTTGACATTTCCTTTACCTCTGCGACTTGTTGCTTGACCACCGCTGTTACAAAGATGGATCGGTATTTAGTGATTTGAAGAATATTCACAGGGTTATTCGTTCTGTATAATTCACTGTGCTAAGTATAATGAGTAGGAAAAAAGCAGTGGAGCTGTCCGTTTCCACAAGCATATGTCCACACAGATAACTATTACAAAAGGTCAAAGATATGATTTGTTGCTGCAGTGCAGGCTTTACATAGAATAGATTGAAGCTTATCGATATCGGACAAGCAGAAGTGTCACAGAGAAAATATCATTATGACTGACTGACTTAAGTGAGGAGGAAGTATAGGCAGAAATGGGAAAAGGAGACTATTATGAATTGAATAGTTCCCTTGAAATTTATATGAAGTCAGCTTGCCCAACACAGAAAATATGAACATGTTAAAAATAGGAATGTTTTGCAAAGAGAGTATATATAAAGGAAACCCTATTAGAACTAGATCAACAAAGTGGCCTCTAATTCAGTGCAGCCTAAGTCATGGTGTCTGGCTTCCTTACAGGAAAAGATAACACAGACGCTGAGACTTAAATGGAAGGTGATGTAAAGAGATATGCTGAAGGTACTTTTCTAAGAGCCAGGCAGAGCATCCTGCCATGGGTCCTTGTCTTCCTTAGAAGGAAACAGACCTGCAAACACCTTTGTTTAAATATCTAGCTTCCAGTGTATAGAAACAATGTGTTCCTATTGTCAGGGAATTAGATAACTGAGAGAACAGTATTTGAAGCTGATGAACCATCAGAGTAATCTGACATGTTAGAGGGGTATGGTCAGCATTACAAAAGAAAAGAAAATGTGACTGAACAGGGAGGTGAATGGCATTGGGGAGGGTCTTACAACACCATGAAGCTGACCTAGTGGTACAGATCTATAAGCAAGATATCTTGACCAACAGCAGATATGCTCCTGGGGGCCACTGTGGTCACAAGAAGAAGCAACTCTGAACCAAAGGCAAGTCATCTAGTCCCTTCCCAGATGCTCCAGATCTTATTTTATGACATCGAAAGCCAAGGGCATCAGTGATCAGTACTTGAGAACATTTGCTACTCGTATGTGTCTCTTCTTTGTGAGTCTCACTGTTGGCAACAGGGAGCCATTAAAGGTTTTACCCAGTGTTGCAAGGAATGAGAGATGTGCTTGAGGATATTTGTGTGGATGGGTGGGAGCCAGAGTAGCAAGCGCTTGGGAAGCAGCTGACAAGGTTGAGGGAAGAAATCCTGAGGTGTAAAGACATGCTGGAGTACTTGCTTATTACATTCAGGGGAGCTGATGATGGCGGGGGAGGAGAGAAAAGGAGAGAGAGGAGAGGGAAGACGTGAGTAGATATGCTGGCTTTTAGTTAGGACAGCTCAGAGTGTATGATAGGGGCATGGCTGTCTTTTTCTGTGTAAATTTCACCATAAACTTGCTTCTGTGACTCTTGGGCTGTGGTTTTTAATAGAGACATCAGTTACATTTTTGACATTCTATACGGTATGTTAAAATACCAAATTTCAAGTTGACAATTCATCATACTTTTCACAATGGTTCTTTTCCTGTGTCCAAGGGTGCTGTGAGAATGAGAACAGTGAGCCTTTCTACTGGGACAATGAACTGTGGACAGGAATGCGTGTGTGTGAGAGTAGATCATCATGTCTTTAGGGTTTGTCTTCATTGCAACTCTAACAAAGCTTCCTGGTTCCTCAAAAATAACAAACAAATAAAAATGAGAAGAGTCAAAACAAGATGACCAAGTAGAAACCTAACTATCCTTTCTATTTGTGGCAACATTACAATTCCAGAAACCAAGATTTGTTATGAGACTAAAGCCAATTTGCTTCAGCCATTTCCATTTTATTTTTCAGGATACATATATTTATTAACAGACATAGGATATTTTTTAGACTACTGCTTTTTTGTTTGAAAATGTATGAATCTACTGCTGCCATTCAATTTAATAACAAAACTTTGGGATTTTATGTATAGATTTGTGAATACTTGTCAAACTGATTAAGGGAGATATGGGGAGAGCCATCAATAAAAACTGGAGGCAATAATATGGAGAAATCAATTTGGATGTCCTATGATATTAAATAAAACTTCATTATGTTATGTGACTCTGAGAACCCACACTGTCTATCTTTATGTGTTACCTACAGTGGTAAAACATGTCTGAGAAATCAATGAGAAATTGATATTTGGTTATTTATCATGGCAATTTCAATGCTTCCTCTGGGGGTTTTAAAGAAAGCAATCCGTTTTAAATGTATTTTGTAGGCCCAGGATGCTCCACCTATGATCTGATATTGGGAATTGCAGAGATAGTCTAAATTTTCTTTAGCTTTTAGTATCACCCAAAGAGATACTGATGGTCTGTGCTGCTGGCCAGGATGTTTTATTGCCTTTATCTGTTGATATATGCTACAGGTTTCATTGATTTTTAGCTATGTTATGCCTGCAAGATTCATTTTTCTATTTTCTTTGACTTTAACTTTTAGTATCTTTTTTCGACAGCCATTTAATTGTATTGATTTTTTTTTCTAGGCCAGTTATAATTTAGAAAAGTACATTTTAGCGTATTTTGTTTAGAAAATATTGGCCTCAGTGGCTTACATCTAGCAATATTCTGAAGAGTTGAGCCACAAATACCACTAATTCACTGGGCAGGCTACTGCGGTAATGTGCAGGCAGTAATAAAAGGGTGTTGTAAACTCACTGTCTTCAGAGGCCTTCCCTAGGAGGCAGATTGATGGGCAGAGGATGGGTCTGCAAGCCAGTTTATGGGACAATGTCTTCAGGTGCAGAAGTATGGGAGATGAGGTGCAGAAAGAGAGGTTAACCTGCCATATTGTACAAACAATAGTCCCAACTGATCCTATCAGCTGTTTTCATGGGATGTTCTCTAGGCCCAATGCCTTATACAGTTTTGAACACAGTGAATTACACCTAACACTCTCTTAGGCTTTGTCTACCTGTCTCTGTCTCTGTCTCTCTGTCTCTATGTCTCTCTCTGTGTCTCTCTCTCTCTGTCTAGGATCCCCAACCATTGGATGCTGCCACTTAGAACAGGTGAGGTTTCCCTTTTCAATTAACCTACTAAAGATAATTAACCCCCAGACATGCCCATAAGCTCTTCTATGTGGTCCTGGATGCAGTCCTGCTGATGGTTGGGATAATCATTCATTCTTTAACAGTGGCTGCTTCATGTCAGGGTATGATTGATTTTGAGTGTTCCTATGAAAGATTTCAGCTACTAGCATTCCTGCAGCCAGGAGGAATCAGACTTCAGTAGTGAAGGAGAGATGGAGGCAATTTTCCACAGTGTCTCTATGCTCAGAGTTATAGAAAATCACGTTTCCAAGGAAAGTTTTCAATTTCATGCATTAAGTATTTCTTAATCTTTAAAAATATTTGATGTTTATAAGTCTGCATTTGTTGAAATCTGTAAATTGCCTGTTAAAATGTATCATCATTCAACAAATAGACAGCAAACGCTTAAGTTTTGTTTAACTCGTGAGAGTCATATTAATTGGTTCATAGACATTCGTCATCATTATTATCAATGAAATTCATTCACTATACTGCTACAAGTACAAAGGCCCTGTTCATTGAAAGGGATATATTATAAATTTTGAACTATGTAGATATCAGAACTAATATTTTCATATTTCTAACTCAATTTTGAAATATTTTTGCAAGTTATTCTTATCAAACAGATTTGCACTTTCTTATACTACATTTTATCTTTAGTATGTGAATATTTGATAAGGAGGCCTCACTTTAATTGGGACACTATTTGTATATGAGAATCAACTTTGACTACGTAGTAAGCTCAACACACCCATCCTTGCAAGATACTCATAGTATCATGATTAAAACAAAATTATGTTACCCGCCCAAATGTTCATGTTATCCTTAAATTTTTATACTCAGTTC